CCAAATGAAGAAAGAGTAAATCGAGATGCAGGAAAGAACATACAATTGTAAGAAGAAATTTAGTGGAAAATCAAGGATTTAGGCGAACATTATAGCAGAACTTTGACGGTATACACGATTCACACTAATTTGTGATATGGTTTTTTTTTTAATTTAAATAATTATTCTTATTTAATGATCATAATAACTTTTTTAATTATTATTAATAAGCTCTAAAAGGATTGGAATGACTAAAAAACTCAAAATCATCTCGATTGGAGCTCAATTACTTAATTTATGCATAATTGCCTCATAACTCATGTTGATTCATGTGCATGATCTTCTTTGGAAAAAGTTCTAATTAATTTTGAGTATTGTAGGTATTCAGGATGCAATATCAAAGTCCGCTTTGCGATCAGACATCATTTTAGAAACATCACGTGCCAATTTTCAGGACTTGTGTGTATTACCTTGGAACCCATGCCAATTTCACCACGCAACTTTATATGAATAGATTGCCAGTTAATTCTGAATATTGATGAAATTTTCAAATGTAATAGCGAAGTTTGTTTTGTGATCGGACGCTCGATTCGTGTGCATTACCTTGAGATGTGTTCTGACTTCTTTACACGACTTTAATTACTCAAATTGGTTGTCACTTTTGAGTATTGATGATGTTTTGAACGCAACAGCAAAGTATGTTTTATAATTGGACATCATTTGAGCTACATCATGCGACAATTTCCTCTATTTGCATGTTGTTGCTTGTGGACTCGTGTTGTCTCCTAGGATAACCCCAATTGAGCAAGCTAAAATAGTTTTGGGTGTCAATGATGTTCTGAATAAGATGACAAAATCCATTCTACGATCAAACGACCTGTTCGTGAATTTAGGTGGAAGTAGGAAGTAAAAATAAATCATTAAATGATCTTAGGTGGGATTAGCAAAAAAATTATTAAATTATAAAATTTAATCATATTTATTTTTAAAACTATAATATAGTTCTAATTGAGCTTCTTAATGCTCTAATCAAGCTTCTTAATGAGATTAAAATGATATTGTTCGTGAACATAAATGAATTGAACACCAAACTGTTCAAGCTCAATTTTTTTGCTATTGAGTATTTATCAAAAGTGTTCAAGCTTTCTTGTTTACCTTACCATATGAACATGAATGAGCTCTTATTGAACCAAGCCACAAGCAGCTCATCAAACGCTTGGTTTTTTTGCAGCTCTACCCCCTACCCTCATGTGTACCCCTTATAATATCAAATTAGGGTGAGTGGCAGGGAGGGGAAAAGGTTGAAAGAAGAGGCAATAAGCAAAGTGAAAGAGAGAGAACATGGCATGCGATAAGAAAGTGCCTATATTAAAGAGACTTTGTTGGAACATATCGTTGTGTGTCAAGCTGATAAAATGCAACCCCCAATAAATTCCCCTTCTACACACCCTATGTATAAGCCATACATAGTGCATGTGCAAGCTTGTACACACTTTGTACAGCTTGTACACACATGGTGTATAACTTGTTCACATGATGTGTAAAAACTTATCTTGTACACACAATGTGTACAACTTAAACAATGTGCACAACTTATACACTGTGCACAAAAATCTTCTAGAAGGAAGAAACAAAAGAAGCTTTCATATAGATTTTACAAAGTGAACTGTAATAGATGAATTATGCTAGAATATCACTTAGCTAAAAGGAAATAACACAGAAATTTATTCATCATTTATGGAGAAATCCCAAACAGATTATGTAGCTTCGTCATTCATGCCTTCAACAAATACAGATATACAATGTCCTCAACAAAAAAACTTAAAAATCGTCCTTAACCAACCAAAAAAATCATTTTAATGCTCTAAAATGCATTAACATTCAAAAATACAGTAATAACACATTGATCAAACTCACTATGGCCTTAAATCTAACCTTCCCAATCTTTCATATGGATTACACCTAAAGAGGATGAAGAGAGCGATGTCAGACAGATCCTACAAATATGAACAACCATTGAAGGAAATGACGGACTGATCCTTTTTCAAAGATGAAAAGCAACTAAAGGAAACGAAAGCAATCATTGTTCAACAATGAAAATTTACTTTCCAAATTCCAAACCATAAATCTTTTGGTTTGCTACGATTTAAAATTGGACGGACGCGACAACATTAATAATGAACAGACAAGACAACAACAAACATTTTCAAAACTATCATCGATCCTTCACATAATCTATGGCAAAATAGAAATTGTGATCTACATGTAATCAACAACAAACATATACGTTTCTTACCCTAAGCTTCATCTACAACAACCTCAAATATACATGAATAACTTGCACATTATCACATATCCATCCCTCATGCAATTTTCTTTCAATCCACTGGTCACCAGAAATTGACAGGTAGATTTTTGTAGACAGAGGGCTGTTTCAAGTGGCAAAGGCCAATATGCAGCAAACTAAATTGAAATCTGCAGGATTGCTGAAAATTTTTAAGTCCACTATTTATGAAAAGCCGGGAATCAAACATCAATTTAGAATTTTAGCTTGTGAAAAGTAAAACATAGTTATCAGGCAAGTATAGCCCAAGAGGACAATTAATTAAAAAATTACTATCAAAATCCACCACAACTAAACAATAGAAGCAATTTTTTGACTAAGATCTAAAAGTCAGTTTATGAGACAATCACAATTTTTTTTATAAAGATGATTATAAAATTTCTATGGTAAAAATATCTTTTTTAAATGCAGCTGTAGAAAGCAACTTTCTAACACAAATATATATATATATATATATATAAAGAAGTGAAAATCTATGGACAAATAGAAATTGTGATTGCAATCTAAAAATCAAAATAGTAAGAAAGCTATCCCATACGAAGCCTAAGACTAAAACTTGAAAAAGAAATAATATAGGATAGGTTGTTAAAAAAACTTCAGGTAATCCTTGATATTTCATCATTATTAGAAAAAAAAAGGACTCAGTAGAGCCAAAATATTATTGTAATACTCATCACTGCATCTCTAAAAGAAACTTCATTGGCTCAGTAGAGAAAACAGTAATGTTACAATCTGCAAGGAATATGTAGCAAGCCTTGATTCTTGATTGGTAAAAACCATAACACAAGTTAATTGGCATGGAGTTTCATTACAGACTAACAGGGAGCTCAGCACAACTACTGGGAGAGAGCTTCTTTTTCCATCCCAACTCAAATCCACATATGCAGTTGTTCTATAAAGGAGATTTATAAGAAAGCACTATATTCAAATAAGAAAAGAAGAAGAAAAATAAACCAATAACAAGAGGGCCCAGATGAAAGATGAATTCATAAAATAAAACACGTAGAGAAGCATTCACGCTAAACAAATATGCGGATCACTGAAATAAATTGAATTGAAGTCCACAAGGATAAATCATTAATTTATTCTCTCAAGCAAATCGATCAATATTTTATGAATATTTTGTAAAGAAAAATTACCATCTAGAGCAATTTATTATCATAATCTAGTTGCAATTCACATATAATTTGTCAATCTTCAATCAATCAAATAAGCACATCCATTCCAACAATTTAAAGATTTTATTAATATACCACAAAATTTCTTGATGCATTGTGTAACATATTTTCAATGCCATGTTAGCTAGCACTTTAAAATAAGTGATCAACTTCATAAAAAAAGTACTAGTGCTGGATATAATAACCACCTCAGTTCAGGAGTAAATACAAAAGCTTATAAAAATTTAGAACATACAAATATTATTATGTACATTATTACAGACTTGTAGATACCCACAAACATTTGAAAGTGTAACGGTAAGAACAAAAGAAAAGTTTAGCTCAAGCTTGATAAGTGAAAATTGATGACCGCTAACCCAAATACTTACATTAGTTTGAGAATTTTGCATACAAGCTTACAGTTGAAAAGTTTTTTTCCATAAATTACATAAACTTTATCTTTAGTTTTATCTATCTGTATGGAATGACAAGCAACCAGATAAATTCATATTTATCATAAGTTTCTTCAAGAAAATTGTTATTGTAAAATTCATAATATATTCATTTATTTTTTTCCCATAAAGTGCGTAAGGAAATCTATTAATTGAAACCTCAACCCCTAGGCTATTTAACATGGTTTGCATAAGATTAAGTTAATCCAAAGAATAAAACTTCAATTTTTTGCGTAAAACCCAAATTCGAGTTCAATTTGCTTAAGTTGAAGTTGGCTATAAATTTTGTAAAATCATCCAAGAGCTACATTGGATAGAGAAACCGCAAGGAATAAGAAAGGAGGCGGAGAGACCTCGGAGGCAGCATCAATGTCTAGGGTGGAGACGTTGGAGGGGGTAGACGGGGAGTAAGAGGTAAGCAGTTGAGTTATCTGGCTACGGTCATGACGGGAGAAAGGGGCGAAATTGCTTAGATGAAGGGTCCAACATAAAAATACAAGAGGTTCTAATGAAATCGGAATACGAACCGAGGATAAGACGAATAGTTAGAGAGCTTAATTAGCTCTTCATTGTCATTTAACTATAGAATACGAAGCGAATGTCAAGTGAAGGATGATTTTGGTAGCATAAACAATACAAATCAGAAAAACTATAATTATTAATTATTAATTAGTTATAATTAAAGCAACGGATTGAACAGTGTTTAGGTTATTAAAATTTTATGTTTGGTTGTTTTTGTAACCGTGCGGGAATTTGAAGCGAAACAACGGGGTGTGATATAAAAACACTAGTTTTATTTTATTTTTTTTAAAGTTTGGATGTGAAATTAAAAGCACGATAATGAAATAAATGAAGAATATGAAGAGGTCAAAGTGAAGGAAAACAATAATAATGGCAGTAAATAAATGAATAAATAAATATATTATAGGAAGTAATAAATGATAGAATTTGAGTTATATATAAACAGTGTAGATTAATTTAAAATTTATAGATGAATGATAAAAATTTACTATGGATGAAATCTCAAACCACTTTTATATAATAGTATAGATATAAATTAATATGATGTATACTTGAACATGATTTTTGTATTAACAATAAAACCATTTTGAACATTAACAAGCCGAGATTATAAGTCCATAATAGTAACTCCTAGACAATTTATTGGATATGCACGAGTAATATATATATATATATGGACTTATAGTATATTATTCGTGCATATCCAATAACTTTTCTAGGAGTATATACATATATATATATAAAAGCACAGACATTTTGATTTCTCCAACTGCAGAGGACAACATAAATAAAAAATTTCTCTGAAACAGTTTATGCTCGTCGATACTCATCGCCGCAGTCTCCAATCACTTTAAGAAGATCTCTCCCTTTCATTGACACCTCTGTGATACTGTTCATGTCTTCTTCATCCAAATCTAGGGAGAATACGGCACTTATGTCTTTGATATGCTCTGATAGACCTAGTCTAACTCCAACCATTGATCCAGCAACTGATGCCTGTAATCATTCAAAGACACCAAATACCAGTGATGTCAAAGTTTGAAACATAGGGTATTTCAATTTCATTCCCTACTTGCTGACTTTTAGAAATTAGTAGTTAAATAAAGAAAACACGTTGGTTTCTATTGTCGAAAACAGAGTCTTGTTAGACAAATGAAATTGTGGAAAACCCATAATATGTGTTTTGACTTCATTAATCACAAAAATCAAATATGGTTTCTTCTCAAGGAAATATGTGAACAAATTAAAAAAATAAAAAAAGCTAGAAAAAAAAATTAATAAGTATTTATCTACTACTACTATAACAACAACATCAAATTTTGATCCCGCTATGTGTGGTCAACCACATAAATCCTTTTTCATTTTTTTGTTATGTTAATAGTCAAATTCTCATATAATTTTTTACTTATAATATTTTCTAGAAAAATTTCTAGATCTACCTCTACTTTTCGGCAAATTATTGCGTCCGGTCACCTGACATGTGGACATCCAATCCGGACACGCCACCTCACCCAGATGCACTGGGCCCCGATATTTTTGAGTGACGTGGCGCATTTTTATTGGTGTCCGGACGAATCCGGACACCGGACACAATATTTTGCCCTACTTTTTTTAACATAGGTCAAATCCAATACATCTACTCTCCTAAACGGATCATTGGAAGGCCGACATTTTTATGTGTCCAAATCATCTAAATCGACTCTCACTAATCTTATCTGCCACTAAAACTATTCCAACCTTTTCTACTACTAATAAATATTATGATGTCACAGTATTACCTGATTCAAAATATATCTGACGGCTACAGAAGGAATAGAAACCCCATGCTTTGAAGCTACGGTCTTCAGTGTTTGAAGCAAAGTTTGAAAGAGACCCCAGTTTCCCCAAGCATCAACCATCTGCAATATCCAAAAAAAGGCAAATCAAATATGATCCAATGCGAACCAGTTTGCAATAGAATATGCCAATATTAGATGCATTGTATACCCTTTTATACTTCTGCAGAGATGGGGTATTTAAAGAAGGGCCTGCAAAAGGAATTGATAAATTGACATCTAGGAACTTCTCAGACAGGAGCCCACCCATAACAGTTCCATACCTGCATCAGCAAGCATCTTAAATTGGTGTGTAAATGTGTGTGTGTGTGTGTGTGTGTGTGAGAGAGAGAGAGAGAGAGAGACGTTATAAGTTGAACTCCCGTGAGTCCACAAAGTTCTGCCATTTTTCGCTGAGGTCGCATGTCAATAACAGAATGTTGTACCTGGCGCAATCAAAAGCATGGGCAATAAAGAAGATCATAAAACTTATGAGACCATTGGAGGAAAAAAGGCCATACCTGATTGCTAACTACTGGGATACCATTTTCCAGTATTATGTGCAATCTCTCAGTATCAAAATTTGTTAAAGCCAAGGTTTTTATTTTACCTGAATGTTTTGAATCAATTGATTTAAAATAAGATCAAAACCTAATAAAGAGATGGGTGAAAATTTTAGGAATAAATACTCAAACCTTCCTCCTTTAGATCGGCTAAGTGTTTAAGAGCATCAAGGTATCCAGTGTTGGAGTAATCCCACCTATTTTTGTACAAGAGGAATTTACTAACTTGAGATTCAGAAATGAACAAAAGAAACAAAGCTAACATTTCTTGTATCCAGCATTTTTAGGGGTAACTGAAAATATTCTCAATGTCCATCTCTATTTACATATGCATTCATCAATTTAGGTAAGCAAATCAAGGAATACAAAGTACGTTCAAACTATGAACCGCAAAGTCACAAAAAATATAAAACAATTTTTATATTTTTTTAAGGTTATGAAAAAAATCCAGGACCAGATCAAGAAACTAATCTCAAGCATAAACCACGGTAGACGAGAAGAGAAGCCTCATGATACGCTTCTGAAAATTAATTGCAGGTTATTTTCTTTTGGGAATAGAAAGCGAAGGCTTTGTTTGGCAATGTTGTGGCGGCAGAACAAGACAACTGATAAACTATATAAAAAAACAAAATTGTAAAATTCTACAAACGAGAGTATTTCACGGTTGTTTAATAAAAAATGAGATATGAATTCCGTTCAAACCTCAACTTGCTCATAGCTATCATACTATTTACACTTTATTTATGTCTCAAAATTACTTTAAAAAACATAAACCTTCTTTATCCCTACAAATATAAATTTCGGAGGGCATGGAACGCTAAAAAAAGAGAATTTGAACCCAGGTCCAAAGGTGTTTGAAACATCAACCGCTAAATGTAAACATTCCTTAGCGTGGGTTCTAACCCATTGTATTGGTTGAGGACAGCTGGGGAATGCCAGAAAGAAATAATTACTTTTTGAAGGTATTGAAATCCTCTTCTCTTTCCACTTTTTCATGAAATGGATGAAGAAGTCCCCTGGGATGAAGCAAGTATGATCAACACGAGCACAGCAAGCGTAGCCAAGTGAAGGCTCACCAATTCCTTCTAAAGGTCGTCCTCACATTTGGATCTAGCAGAAAGGGAAGTCTAAGAAAAGGGCCTAGGAGAGTAGAGGACTAGAACGTCATTGTTGACTAATACATGCATTACACGTAACAGAGGACATTTCACCATAATGGCAACTTGTAAAGCCCCAAGAAAGTCTTCCGAGGGAGATGCAAGACAGATGGAGATGAGATCCCATTACACAAATTGAAAACATCTTTTGGAAGGCTTTACTCTGAGATTGTAAACATGCCGCGGAAAAGTGCGTTTGGCAGTGGATTTTTTCAAAGAGGAATGCAACGTGCAGTACAACACTGAAACCTTGGTGTCGCATACACATCATTTCCCAAAGAAATCCTAATCTCTTACTAATGCCACAGATTAAATTTCGCATAGCATTCAAACAAAGGAGAAAGATTGAATAAAAGCAGCTTCATCCGCATGACTAATTTCTAACGTGCATTACAAGCTCAAAAAATATAACACAAAATTAATCATTCTCACTCAAGAAATGAAGAGAAGAGGAAAATGAATTCAAAAATAATTATTTTCAACACTATTGTTTGCACATTGGAAGCCTGCAACCTTTGTTAGGGAGAACGAAGGATAAAAACAGCACGCAAACATACTTCTTACCAGTGAAACTGAAGCATGTCCAATGAAGCAACATCCATTCTTTTCCGTGAAATATTGATGTTATCCCTCACATAGTCGCTTGTCATTTTAACAGGAGGCGGCACCCATTTTGTAAGGCTGTAGCAAAAAACAACTGGAATGAGAATCTTTCAGGAGACATATCCAACCCAAGCTCCTAAAACATACATACTTTAGAAACTCAGTACGTATAGTTAACAAGTTGGTTGCATCATTGTTAGGAAGTGGCAGTAAAAATCCAATTCCCTTGGATTGAAATCAAATTACAGCACACCTAAGCACAACCTCTAAGAAGAAACAAGAGAAACAACAGAGAAATATCTTTTTGATTGATGAAATAATAAGAATGGCCCACAACAATGCTCCTATGAAACTCCTGTAGCAGGTGAGGAATATGAAAAGAGGTCCGTGGCATCACAAATCTCCTTTGGTACAGTAATCTCTCTCCTCTTTGATTGCACCCCAATTTATCATCACTTGTATCGAAATGGTCATCCCTTGGAGCTCTCCATGCATCTTGATAGGCATCAGCCGTCTTATTCTCAAATCCTGGCCAGTACTGGATTTCAAAGTCATAACCTAACAACTTGGACAGCCACTCCTCAATCACTATCCTTTGATCTAGTAAAAACTTCAAACTCCTCTGATTTGTCCTAACAATAAAATGTCGGCCTAATAAGTAAGGCCGCCACATCTGAATGGTTAACACAATGGTTATCAACTCCCTCTCATAGACTGACTTTAGCCTAGCTCTGACTGTCAATACTTGACTGAAGTAGGTTGTCTATGATTCTGCATAAGCACTGCTCCCAATTCATACCCGGATGCATTTGTCTCTACCACAAAAATATGGCTGAAATCAGGTAAGGCTAGAACTGGTATTGTGATCATGGCCTTTTTCAATCTCTCAAAAGCCTGGTTAGCAGCCTCTCCACAAGAAGCTATCTTTCTTCAACTGCTTTGTCAATGGCCAGGCTATTGTACTGTATCCTCTCACAAATCTCTTTTACTACCCCGACAAACCTAGGAAACCCCTCCATTCTCTCAGATTCCTAAGTAGAGGCCATTTCAGAACTGCCTCAATCTTGATTTGATTAGCAGCCACTCCCTCCTAGGATACCATGGGCCCCAAGTACTCCACATTGGCATGTGCAAAACAACACTTCTTCATGTTGGCCCTCAACTTCTGCTCTTGTAAGTATCCCAAGACTACCCTCAAGTTCTTCAAATGCTCCTCCTCGAACTTGTTGTACATTAGGATGTCGTCAAAGAAAACCAGTACAAACTTCCGGAGGTATGGTCAGAATATCATGTTTATCAGTGAGTGGAATGTAGCAGGAGCATTTATGATGTCAAACATCATCAATAATAAACTCGTAATGTCCCTCATGTGTCATGAATGCAGTCTTCAAGACATGCCCCAAGTCACGAGGCCTCGTCACTCTCATTGTTGCCCGGATCTCTGTCTTAAGCCCCTTCATGATGTTCCCCTCTAGCACCGTCTCAGGATGCCGGTCTAGTCGGCTAGTTAGGTACTTAAACCTCTTACGGTACTCCACCACAGAACCTTCATGCGCCAGAGTGAAGAACTGCTCATAGAAGTCCCCACCCATGCTGGTTCGGAAACATTCCGACAAGTAGTCCTTGTACTCGCCCAACTCCGAATGGGCCACCTCATGTCTCTTCACTAGTACTAGGCCAATGTCTTCCCCTCCAAACACAAGCTAGCTTCCATCAATCTCTCCTCCTCCATCAATCCATTGATGATGAAATAACTCTCTACCTTGTAGATCCATCCATGTGCATCCTCCCCCTCAAAGATAGGCATCATCAATTTCCTCACCCTCAGATATCCTTTGTTCCCCCTGATTCCCTCATAATTTCCCCTTCCCTAAGTGGTGGTCCCCCACATATTAATATCCTCCTTTCCATTCTTGAACCCGAACCTTTTCTTCAAATTCCCCCTCCTCTTTCCAAAATCAACACCCCTTTGCTCATACACAACATATCCATGCCTATCCTCATACCTTCTATGTATCTCCTCCCACTTAATAGGTTCTAGAGGGGGACTTCTTCCTTCTCCCACCAAGATCTCCACATCGTGATCATCCCTACGATTGTACAAATTTGTATTTCTTCCTACCAGCACTCTTGCCTCCGATGCCACCATTTGGTTGTGAAGATCCAACACCTTTCTCATCTCTTGTAGGTCCGAGAATTTGTATTCCATGGAGGAAATTCTTCCCTCAACCGTCGCTTTGATTTGGCTTATCTCCCACTCAAGATGTTTTCCCAAAGCATCAACCTTCTTGGCCGCCATAGATAACCAGCTCTTGATTAACGCCAAAAACAACAATTCTCCCCTTCAATCGCAGAAAACATCAATTTTGAGAAGAAAATGCAGCATAAATGAGCCAAGGAAAGCCCCAAATTCAATCCCGGACACCACACTGATACCAATTTGTTAGAAAGTGACAGTAAAAATCCAATTCCCTTGGATTGAAATCAAATTAAAGTGCAATCACACAATCTCTAAGAGGAAACAAGAGAAACAATGAAGAGAAGTCTCTTTTTAATTGATAAAATAATAAGAAAATAAACAAGATACAATGAAACTTCTATTAGAGAGAAAGATCTAGCTCTCACAAATCCCTAGCCGCCAGCTAAAGCCCAAAACATCTAAAAACAATAAAAATTAAACTAAATCAACACATAACCTAACCCTAGAGCAAACTTCTCTATTTAAAGCATACAAATAGCAAAGCAAATGACTAAACAACACCCTCATAAATTAATTCCTTGCCTAACTGTCCCCTCCTAAATATATTCAAATAGTGGGCACCCCCAAGGGGGGCGGCCTGGAGCAGAGGCGGACCCTTGGTCCGCCTAGAGTAAATAAGGGCCGACCCTTAGCCTAGGGCCAACTGGACCGGTCTAACAATCATCTAATGATTTTTTTTTTGGGACATAAACCAATTTCTCCGAAATTGTTAACTTAAGCGTGACTGCTGATAAGATAGCATTGAAAAATCTTTAGTTTCATATATTAGGAATATAAAATGAGGGCGCATTCTACTAAATACTCACCCCCTAATCTCTTCAAGGAACTCTGGAGGGCGTTCCCGACGAACTCTGTTGATGAAAATGCCATACAAGTCTTCTGCAGGCCCATCTAACAAAACAATAATATTATCTTGCTGGCAAGCATGTATCAAAGACATGGAAATCTAAGAAATGCTTATTTCTCATTGCTGTTAGTTGCAGTAAAGAACCTTTTTATAATACTTCTTAAAGTGTGGCCATGAAAATAAGGTTTGGAAATTAGCCATGCAGTTCTACAGCAAGTCTAGCACTCATATTTCAAGATTATTTCTTTCCATATAACAACCGAAATGGCTACTTATAAGCAATAATTTATTGCTACAAATAAAAATTTAGGAAATAAAAACAGCACCAAACAACCATGTTGCTTGGTACCCCGTTATTGAAACTTCAAAACAGTGAAGTCGAAAATGTGTTATTCATAATTGTTTATGACTTTCCAGAGAATATGATGAATGAGTTTTACACTAATTTTAGATGGCCCAGTAGATAACGTAGAAAATCTACTTTCAGTAATTTCAAATGCCGTTATCGCATCTCCCCTTTCTAGCAGACCAGCAATAAACTGTCCTAAGCTCTATAGAAATCTGACGAAGACAAGACAATGATGACAAAAAGAAGCATCTTTAACCTGAAATACAAATATTTGGTCATTAAGGTGATCGTATATAGCAAGGTAAAAACATAAAAACTATAGCAATTTGCATATATAGTGTGTGTACAAAGTATATTTAACAAAATCTCACAAACGTTGAGGCCCTTCAAAGATATTTTACATCGAATACAAAAAGATAACATTTATAAAGTAATTTGTGTCCTTAAAAAGTGCATATAAAAAATCAAACCAAAATAATCTTCCTCTAGGTGTTCTATAACAAAGAAACTATACATTTAATTCATAGTTTTATAATTTCTTTTTTAAAGTGGCTTTGGACTATAGTTTAGGCAACTAAATTCAAGTAAGAGATCAGTTATCATTAATAAGAAATAATAAGCATTAAGCTTCACGCACAATTGACTTATTAAGCTTCTAGCATAAATGAAGGAAAAAGGAATGAAACTAATCCTTGTCTCAGACAGCAGGTTCAAAGCATTAGTAACAGCAATTTTCTACGCCACATTACCACCTAGTGATGTGGAACATCATAGCTTAAGTATTTCTTAGGAGTAGTTTATCCAAGTTTGTTACAAGTATCTTCTAGAATGTTCTATTTAGCTTATATAAGCAAGTATTGTAGTAGGAAAGGTTATTGAATGATGAATATTATCTCTTTTATGAAGCTTTGAAGCTTGTGTTTTTCTTGTTCCTTGGATTGGGATCAAATCCTTCAAGCAGGTCCGATTCTTCTGACGATCTAACTACATCAGTTTGGTATCAGAGCCTGGAGCTTGCGAAGATCGATGGACTGCAGAAGAAGGTTAGCTGTTGACGGCGATCGAAGTTGAAGAATAAGAACGGTGATCGACGACGATCGAGACCAACGAAGGGGGGCTATCGACGATGATCAAAGCCGTATAGCCTTCTATCAAGATCGAATAGACAAAAACCTTCGGGCAATAAGGAGAATGTGAATGTCGTCAACATTCATACCAAGGCATTCGTCTTCGCCTTCGCTCCCTCCTCCCTTCACGCAATCGCAAAGGGTTCCGAAATCAACCGATTGTGGTTGACAACTACCCTCTGCTCGAATTCCCTCTCTGATGGCGCGATCCGCCGCTGGAGTATCCACTGCTCGAGCTTCCGCTTCGATGGCGAGATCCTCCGCCCGATCACACAGTCCACAATCTACCCGCGACCGTCATCCGCGACTCGCTTCCGCTCCAGTCCCATCCCGTCACCCACGATTCCACCCCACTTCTTCCCGCAATTTGGCTTTGTCGCATGAAAAGAACAAAGATTCTGATTCTTTCCAGAGTGATTCAGTCCCCGACACCAGTCCGCCGTCGCTATTACTGCCAGTTCGCTCTGGCGATACAAAACCCACTTCCGCCTCTACCCAACAACTCCAGCATGATTTGCCGCTTCCGCATCCACAACACTAGACATGTGATTCTCTACCCGATGAAACAACCACCGATGTCACTTCGCCATCGCCACTCGCTCCTAATCTGGTCATCCCGGCGTCGTCCTTTTACTTCCTCAACAAGTCCATGCAACCAACCCCACTCCAGCGTGATCGCAAAGTTGCAGCTGAACCAAAAGAAGCAACCGCCGCTGCCACTCCACATGACCACGGTCCGGCCCCACTCAGCTCCCGCAATCCCATGCCTGACTCCACACTTGAAGCCACGAAGAAGCCCTTTTGTGAAGTCGGCGACGAGAAAAATCCTTTGTACTCCAGTCCAGGTTCCTAGTGCTCAGAAGGCCATCTAGATAATGATGAACGTCGGGAAGTCAATACCCATTCAAGGAGTTCGTGCAATTCAGAAAATTCAATGGCTACTGCTCAGAATGCAAGGTTTGCAATGATACTAAAGAGAAAAGAAATTGCCTTGCAGCCACAGAGTTTAGACTTGCAGTAGATTGGCTGAAGAAGGTATTTCAAATTTTGAACCATTTTGTTGATCGCGGTACAACAGTAGTTAAGTGGAAAATCTCATCTGCATTAAAATTATTAGAATTAAAAGAAAAATTAGTTATGTCTGGTTGTGAAGATTATGCTTCAGGTGGTATAGGTGTTGTTTCCATTACAGGTGTGCAAATCCTTAATGTGAAGTCCATTGACAAAGTTAATCCAACGCCATGCTCACAAACTGCTAGACGTAATGTTGTTGATGACTTCAGAACCCGCATTCCCACATTCTCCTTCCCCCCACATCACCATATTTTTCCTGCCAGTCTCAAGGTCCTCCAGCCTGACCATGAGTTCTCCGTCTACGTGGGCATTTCTACATATATTGAATTTGGCCGATTGCTGCTTGTAATGGATAATAAATTTTGTACATATGGTGCTGATAAATTGCTTGAACTTGCTGAAAATATAAGGAGAGTTGATGCAACTAATAATACGAGGGATCTTAGGATCTACTTATACTTCTCAGAACCGGTTCTTAATTCATCAGTGCAAGTCTTAAATGTTCTACATGCAAGCAGCGGTTTTCTTCTACCTACAAATGGCAGAACCCTTGGGAACCGACGATTGGAATATAAAGTTATTGGTGTATCAAGCATGGATGAAGTCACCATAAATTGTGCAGCAAGTTCCATACTTATCAGACAAGGAACTCCAATCTCGGCTTCAAACCCATTCATGTTCCTTTATGATGTTCCAAGTCATGTTGTTAGACTGGGCACAACTGCAGATATGAGAACAAGAGAATGAAATATACATATAGCCATCAAATTTGTGAATCCTGTTTTAGGCTTTCATTTATCCTCTTTACTAATTTCGGGAGGTCATTTTGTGAGCTTTCGTGAAGTAAGAGCATATATACTGGTATAGTACAGGCGGATGACAGTATTGTCTCTATAGAAGTTCCTGAAACTTCAACAAATGACACTGCAGAAAATAAAAACCTTGCAACAAACCACCTGCAAGTGAGACACTAATTTATACCTATTCTCTCTTCAATGGTTTCCACCATAGCTAAATTTACATTTGCAGTTACAGCCATGGCAGCAGCATTCCTCACAGTTACCACTACAAGTCTTCTTTCCTCGGGAGTATTTTCAAGACCAACAACTTGCCTGGAGCCAACTAAAAACCTTGTGAGAATTCCATGCCACATCCAAGTCTTTACGCTGTCAAAGTGGTTGACATCTGTAATGCCTACTGAGTATTATGAATTTGTAAAAGGCATAGAGTGGAGTATTCCATACAATAACTTACCTTGGGAAAGAAAGTGCATGGATTCATTTTTGAAAGATTCAAGTTTTCTAATTGTGACCTATAGTGAACTATCAGAAGCAAATGGGCTGAACTCTTTTGAGCCTATGACTGTAGTGAATGGAGAATCAAAATCTAACACTATATTATTTAGGAATGGCAGTTTATTAAAAGCAGCTGCAACAAATATTGAGAACAAAATTTCGATCCATGAGGTTTGCTATCTCCCTCCCGACAACATGCCTTGATGGAGTCAAGGTCTTTTAACGCAACAAGGGGAGAATGATGTGGAACATCATAGCTTAAGTATTCCTTAGGAGTAATTTATCCAAGTTTGTTACAAATATCTTCTAGAATGTTCTATTTAGCTTATATAAGCAAGTATTGTAGAAGGAAAGGGTATTGAATGATGAATATTATCTCTTTTATGAAGCTTTGAAGCTTGTGCTTTTCTTGTTCTCTGGATTGGGATCAAATCCTTCAAGCAAATCCGATTCTTCTGACGATCCAACTACATCACCTAGGACATGCTTAATTGAATCCTACTATCCAATTTAGAACACAATGTCTAAAGACAGCTGAATGCCGAAAGTGTAAAGCAGGCATATCAAAAATCCAATTCCAGTTACATTCTTCAGAAATTCCATTGATTACCCCATATATAATCAGTCTGAATGCTGAATTGGCAAAATAGGCACATCAAAATTCCAGCCTCGTTGAGGTGCCCCAGCCAGTTATACTTTTTTCACACAAGATCACTTACACATTGACAAGAATTAGAGAAATGGCCAGTGTATTCAGTCCAACAGGTATGCAGAATTTATACAAACCTATACTAAAAAGAAAATAAAATTAAGGATGAAAATCTGGAATCATAAATAATTACATAATAACTACAAAGGATTGCTCATAGGCTTTTTTTTTTTTTTAATTGTTGAATTGCACCCTATAAATTGATGAGTTGGTAGCAAGGATCCTATGGATCCATGAAGTGGCAATAGGAGACAGCTGCGGGGTCCAGCAAGGGCGGAAGTAAAAACTTGGGAGTAAGTAGAGCCTCCTACGGGCATGGGAATTCAAGAACATTTCTACATTCCCCTCCCCCCCCAATGAATGAATGTTATGAATTCCAAGTATGCCTAATAATTTTGAGTCAAATGCCTTTGGTAATAGATGCAGAATAAGAGGGCCATGATGAAAAATAGGATATTTATAGGAAAGAAACAGATTTATCAGTTTCATAACAGTTTGAAGTATCTTTCATGTAGAGTCATTATCATGCATGGAGTTGCTCATCATGATGCAAATATATATATATATATATAAAAAGGTACACATCTTCCACATTCATTTACTTAAAGCTTTACGAAAGCTTCTTTAGGGATTGTTTTGTATCGGATTTACAGTGGGATTTAACAGCCAAACAGTTTTTACGTGAGTTAAATCCCGGGATTCGGTAAATCCCGAATTTACGGCTTAAATACGGGATTTAGTAAATCCAAGGGGTAGCCGGATTTAACGGGATTTAACTTCGAGCGATACATTTCACGCGGTCCCCGTGTCGTCAACTGCCGAGCTTGCCCTATTTCTACAAACGAACACATCAAGTCTTCTTCACAGCCGCCTCACTCGGGTTTTCTTCCTTTCTTCTTAACTAAGCTGCTTTGTTGGTTTCTGGTTTTGGCAACAGGTTTTTTTTTTTTTTTGTAGATCATAGTTACATAGTTGAGAACCTTTTTTTTTTTTGTTGCAAAGATGCTGGAGTAAAAGTTGTGGAAGATACATTATCTTCATATTTTTCATGAAAACTTCCAATTATTTTCTACATTACTATTAGTTTTATATTGCATCTTATATCAACTTGTTAAGTAAATTTCTTTTCAGTTAATTAAATTCGCCGTAGTTCGTATATTTGTGAGTCAATTTTTTTAACAAAATTATTCATGGCATTTAATTCACTTTAATTTTTAAATATCACCTTGATATTCTACTTGCACTCTTGCCTAGTATTATGGTATTTATTATGTTATCGCGACAAATAATTGATTGGTAACACGGTGGTTAGGCTAAATAAAATCAGAATGAAGCGATCCTTTTACACCGGGTTTGACAAAGATATTTTTGATTCCGTGAGCGACAATGAGTCATCTAATGCCATCTATCTCAAAAATTTTGGTTCCAAACTTGATTGAAGAGTTTTTGAAGCATGAAAGGGTATTACTCATGAACAATGTTTAAAATTGTGTATTCGGGTATTGAGGCGTTTTTCATTCGTGAGGCAAGGCGTAAGCCTCAAGGCGTTTTGAGGCGTAAGCCTCAAAATCAAAAGATTGCGTAAACATAAAATGATCAAATTTTTTATATACTAATGAGTGAATAATATAAAACATAAAAAAGCATAAGATATAAAGTGAAATTAAAATATCTCAATAATAAGACAACATGAAATATAGTTCAACTCAAAATTCTATCTTTTCCAAATCCCAGTATTCTTTTCATTAACATCTAATTCCAAATTTCAAAAATAAATAGCAATGACATATCACATAAGAACTCATAAGTTATCAGCACTGTCATCATTATGGTGAACTGCTCTCTCCCCTTCCCCCTCTCCTACAGAGTACAATGTCGGGCATTTACTTCAAGATTTATGTAAGTTTTAATATATATAGCTTGAGGCGTAAGCCTCATGCCAGTGATGCGAGGCGGGCCTCAACCAAGTTGAGGCGCAAGCCTCACAAAAAAAGCTCGAGGCGTAAGCATCGAGGCGTTTTTTACTGGAATTGCGCAAAGGCGGGCCTCAAGGCGAGCCTCATATTGCGCAATTTTAAACCATGCTCATGAATATACTCTTTGACAAAGACATTTTGTACTAATTCCTTCATTTCTTTTTTTAGATTGCAAGTCAAAGAAATAGATCTTCGTGAAATAAATTGGATTCCAAGAAATGGATATGAAGACATCTAGAAATTTAATGCATTCTCTAATATAATGCTTAATCTGACATTTTGGTCAATATTACTTTGTAATTTGCTCTTTATTGAATTTTCGATCATCTTGTATGAACTCAAGTTTGTTTAATGATGTTTTATGCAATGATCTTGATCTTATAAATATATTTTTTAAATTTAAATCTCTAACCGCCATAAATCCAGATATATCTTACCAAACAGTTTCTTATGATTTAACAAGATTAATATATTGCATACCAAACAGTTTTTAGGATTTAACACATTTCGGATTTACTAAGTCCGGATTTACAGGATTTACTAAATCCTACTAAAGTTAAATCCCACTTGTTGCCAAACAGCCCCTTATGCATCAATCATAGTCCTAAAAGCTTTACGAAAGCTTCTTTACCCACAATTGATATCACATGCCTTACACTATACTCTAGTAGTTGATACTTTGTGAAGTGTGAACAATAGCCGTGTTAATAGTTAATGTCAAGGGAAAAAGAGATTTATTGGTCTTATTCAACAGTTGAAAGGACCTCTTATTTAAAATTAATAAAGGAATCAATGCCCTGAAAGATGCCCATATATTATAGTGAACAGCCATGTCCGCATCAAATTTAGGAAGAGCCGAGAGTAGAAAATCAATTATTACAGTGATCGGCCATGTCGAAGGTGTTGAGGCCAGCGTCGGCGTAGCTTAGCATAGCCTCCACGGCATCGTCACGGTCGATCCTGCCCCATCCGCCGCTGGTCTGCCACATCCCATTAAGAATACGGCATATCACAAGAGAATCACTTCCGTTCTTCACAGTCGCCACCCGTGCGCTCTTCTCCTCCGTCGTGATCACGCACCGGACTGGCCGAAACGCCAAATGAGACCTTCGCCGCGCAGTCGCAGGCGAAGACGATGATGCCCGGTTACCGCAGAAGAAGGGGCTTGGATTTGCGTAAGAAGACATCGCTAGAGCTGAGAAGGGTCTTTCAAGAGCTGAACAAGCTGAAGCAGCGGGGTAGTGGTGTGGCGTTTAAGCGGGACGACGAGCACTTCGGATAAAATGGCATCGTGCCCACCATCTCGCCACAATTATAAATTGTGATGGTAATTATTACGTAATTTTTAAGGGACATTTACAGAATGTACGAGATATATTTATTATTTTTATTTGTTTAGAAAATATATTTGAAAATTCTATTCAAAAATGTTATTAAAATTAGAATAGACGCTCTATGGCTTATAAAAGCAATATTTTGCATAAAATTTTGATCTAACCTCTTATTTCCAATACCTTCTCTTATAATTCTCATTTGTTAATGATAGTTTTGAGAAATTTCTAATATAAGATTTCCATCTCTTTGTATTTGTGGCTAGCATGTGATTCTTATTGAAGTTTAGTAATAGAGTATTTTTTCACTCAAAACTCAGAATGATATTAGATGTGAGATTATCAACTTCAAATATTAATTAAAATTTTTTCTAACATTGATCAATCATATTCAGCACATGATTGAAATTTCTTCAAATCTTACTCAAACTTGTTTATATTTTGATACTAGGATCAAACAATAGTAAAAAAAGATTTGATTATGATTTTAAAATGGTTCAAAATGTTTTAATCAATATTGCATTATTATTTAAGCAACATCTAGCAAGGTTGATTAAGTGTTAATCATATTTGTTGAAACTTGATTAGGTTGTTAAACATAAACTAATGTCCAAAGGCTAACCAATAAGGGGGTGAATTGATTATTTAAAAATTTTTTGATAAATTTTAGAAAACCGATTTATAATTTTAACACAAAAGATTTTCCAACCATAAAACATTAAAGTGCATAAAATAAAAATGCGAAAAATAAAAGAGAACAGAAGAACAACAAGTTTTATAGTGGTTCGAACCAACTAGACCTACATCCACTCCCTGAAGACTCACTCTTTAGGTATTACACTATACCAAAGTGACTCTCATTTTGCTCAGCAAAGTGGAGAAGCCTTCACAATTTTTTTCTCTTCCACCAATCCCTGGTGCTGGAGAGAACCGTTGTCCTTTCACACCCTCTAAGTGTCAGCAGAGAACTGTCATCCTTTCACACTCTCCAAGTATCGATAGAGAACCATCGTCCTTTCACACCCTCCAAGTGTCGGTAGAGAATCGATGTCCTTTCACACCCCCCAAGTGTCGGCAGAGAACCGTCATCTTTTTTCACCGTCCTAGTGAAGGCAAAGCACCCGCGACCAATGTTGAAGAACTTCACTTAAGAGCCTTCATAGGAGATGGGCAGAAACTTGAAGGAAATAAAGAGATCCTCGCTTTGGGTAACCATGTGAATCCCTACAACCCCCTCACTTGATCTCTCACACTTCACTCTCACAATCTCTTCCAAACACTCACACTCAATGATTCCTCTCAAGAAAAATAAATAACAAAGGCATTTTGTGACAGTTTTTAGGACTCCTTATATAAAAAAGACATGAAAAATCATTCAAAAACTGAAAATTATAAGAAAACTATCCTACGATCGTACTGTATGATGACATATTATCCCGTACGAATGAATAGTGTCCCGTATGAATTGCCCGTACGAATGCATAGTGTCCTCATACAAATACATAGTATCCCGTATGAATCACTCGTACGAATGCATAATGTCCCATACGAACACAAAGTGTCTCATATAAATCGCTCGTACGAATGCAGTGTCCCATACGAATCATTCGTACGAACGCATAGTGTCCCGTAAGAACAGTTCAAATTCGTTTGTACAAACCATTCATCGTACAGTACAAACAGTTCATAAAAATCTTTGAAATCGTCAGGACGAAAAGGGACCAGTCTAATTTATATTATGGACGTCATACGTATGATGATGACATCATACGGTACAATCAATTATGAAAATTTTCAAGTTCGTTTAAGTGTTCGTAGGAGTTTATAACTGAACAAATCGTCCCATACAAAATGAATTCGTACAGTACGATTAGTTTAAAATTTTTGCAAATTTTAAACACTCCCACAGTGTGTGTGTGTGTGTGTGTGTGTGTGTCAATTACAATTACACTCTCAGACTCAATAAAATGAAAAATACATACTCCATTTACAATGAACCCTAATCTTTTTTTATTTGAAGTCTTCAACAATCTGGAGTATGATTTTTCTTAAATGTTAGTATACACTCAAAATAAACATAGAATGAAAAATACTATAAAACATAAAGATGTGAGCCATAATGTTTATTTTCATTAAAAATATAAACTCGTGAGCAATGAGTCTTAACACATGTTCAAAGAAACTTGGAGCAAAATTTAAATTTATAATTTTGAACAAAAAATAGGATAGGAATTTGGAATATAGGCTCCCTTATAGGAAAAAATTAATGGAATTAATATATATTATGATTTATAGGAAAATAAATATTTTATGCATTAAGAAAACTAAATGGATTGAAGAGAAGGCAAAGGAGATTGATAGTTTAGGATATAAACTATGATATTCGGATAGGAATCGTACTAGAAATGGTGTATGTGTGATTTTAGAAAAGATTTTAAAGGGTACAACAACAACAACAACATCAAGCCTTTATCCCACTACGTGGGGTCGGCTACATGAATCTTTTTTCTCCATTGTGTCATATTAAAAGTCAAATTCTCATTTAAATCTAACAAAGAAAGGTCATTCCTAATATTTTCTAACCAAGTCTTTTTAGGTCTACCCCTACCTTTCTTAACATAAGTCAAATCTAATACCTCTACTCTCCTAACCGGGTCATCGGAAGGCCGGCGTTTTATGTGATCAAACCATCTAAGGCAACTCTCTCTAATCTTATCTTCTACTGGAGCTACTCCAACCTTTTCACGTAGATGCTCATTTCATATCGTATCATATTTAACACTGTCGTTTCCAGGTCCCAAGTCCTGGATGAGAAAAGTGGAGGGCTGCGTTAGGTAGTCGACAGCTAGCGTAAAATTTGTCGAACAAAATGACATAAGAGTTTAAAGGGTAATGTTATAAAAATTAACATAATTGGAGATAGAATTATTGTTTTAAATATTATTGTTGATGCTAAGATTATTAATATTATAAGTACTTATACTCCTCAAGTAGATTTGGATATGAGTTTCAAATTAAAAATTTTGGAATGACTTAGAAGAATTAATACAAAAGATACATGTTGAATAAAGAGTTTTTGTTGGAGGTGATTTAAATGGACATTTTGGTAGAGAGGTAGATGATTTTAAAAGCACTCATGATGGTCATGGATTTAGAATAACAACTGAAAGTGGTAACACAATATTAGATTTTTCTTTAGCTTATGATTTTTTTATAGCTAATACCTTATTTAAGAAAAGAGATGAGCATCTTATCACTTTAAAAAATAAATATAGTAAAACACGGATTGATTATTTTCTTATAAGAAAATTAGATAGTTTAGAATGCAAAGATTCTAAAGTTATTCCAAGTGAAAATTTATGTACCCAACATTGATTATTAGTTTTGGACTTTAAGATAAAGGGGCAGAAAATAAAAAATAAAGTAAAATGATATTCTAGGATTAGATGGGGGCATTTAAAAAAATATTAACATGAGTAATTTTTAGAGTAAGATTTTAGATCTTAGAATTTTGTATGTGCATAACGATGTTAATTTTATATGAGAAAAAGTGGCTAGTGATATTAAGAATATTGTAAAAGATGTGCTTGGAGTTTTGTAGGGAAAAGCTCATAATAGTAAAAATAGTTTATGGTTAAATGAAAATGTACAAAAAAAGATAAAGAAATAGAAAGATTTGTTATAAAAACTAATATGGATGTAAAAATTCTAATAATTGAGAAAGTTATAAAAGGCTCATAAGGAATCTAAGAAAGCTATTTGTAATGCAAAGAGATTAGCTTTTAATTATTTATATAATAGATCAGATGCTAAGGAGGGAGACATATATATATGTATAACATAGTCATACAGAGATATAAGAGTAGTAAGGATTTAGTTCAAGTGAAGTGTATTAATGATGAAGATCAAAAAGTATATTTCTTATAAGATGATATTCAACAAAGGTGGATGAGATATTTTGCTAAACTTATTAATGAAGAATGTGAAAATACGATTGACTTTAGTGACTTTAGCACCCTAAATGAAAATAAAGTTTTTTTTTTTATTTTTATCGGTGTATTAGTAAAACTATAATTAGAGAGGCTTTAAAGAAAATGAAGTTTGGCAAAGCTGTTGGACCTGATGATATTTTAATAGAGATGTGGAAATGCTTATGAGATGAAGGAATTTCTTGGCTTACTAAACTTTTTAATACTATTTTGAAGAATAAAATGATGATAGATGAGTAGAGAATGAGTGTGTTAATTCTTATTTTTACGAATAAATATGATGCACATGAGTGTGTGAATTATAGAGGAATTATGTTAATGTATCATACTTTAAAACTATGGGAGCGAGTTTTGGAGCGTACGTTATGGCGCGATACTATTATTTATCAAAACTAATTTGGATTCATGCCGAGTAGGTTACTATAGAATCCATACATTTATTGAGAGGTTTGATAGAGAAATATAGAGAGAATAAGGATGATCTACATGTGATATTTATTAATTTAGAGAAAGCATATGATAAAGTTCCAAGTGAAGTGCTATGGAGAGTTCTTGAAAAGAAAAGAGTTAATAATGCTTATATTCAAATCATTAAAGATATGTATGTATGATTTATTATTTGTGTTCAAACACAAGGTGGTTTGACCAAGTATTTTCCTATTTCGGTTCTATTACATCAAGGATCAACCATAAGCCCATATCTTTTTGCTTTAGTCATGGATGTTCTCACTAAACATTTGCAAGAGGATGTACCTTGGTGTATACTTTTTTTTTTATGATATTCTTCTTCTTAATAAGACTAGAGAGGGAGTTAAAGGTAAACTTGAATTATGGAGGTCAACCTTAGAGCCTAAAGGTTTTTTCTTGAGTAGATCTAAAACTGAATATATTGAGTGTAATTTTACTAGTAATAGACCTAGTGAGGGGATTGCGACTTTCGGCGATCAAGTCATTAATAAGAGTACACATTTTAGATATCT